AAAAAGTGAATGTGCTCTTTGATCAGATTGGATAATGGAGCAGCAGTTTTTCAGATGCTTCCAGTGGCTTCCAAAAAAGAATTTTTCAGCTGAATGAAAACCTTCAAGGAAATATGTAAATGGGTTTCTCTAACTGTGTAGGTAGCCAGTCTGGTACCCTTAAGCAATAACAGGAGTAACTTTCTTGCTGGCAGGACCAGGCTTTTGTAAACAAGGATTTTGTTTTTCTTTTCTTCCTCTCTCCTCCCTTTCTCCCTTCTCCCTTCCCTTTCCTTCCATTTTGGCACTAAATATGAATACAATAAAATCATCTTGATCATGGTCATTGGAAAGATTTTTATACTATCTGAGATAAGAAATTATATTTAAATTTTCAAGCCTGGGATTTTAAATTCTGCATTCTCTTCCTTTGAGAATGTGATCCTTAAACTGCTGTGTTTTTTGCATCATTTTAATTTTATATAGAAGAACAAGTGATATATGCATAATTAAAACTATGACCTATTTTCAGAGTGCAAATTTTAGAACTAATAAAACTTAGAGTAACTTAAATCCTAGATTTTCATTAAGTTAAACCACAGAAATGAGTGGAAAAACTATTTTCATCTTACTTGAAGGCAGCTGCTCCCATGGGCAGCCTCTTTGAGGCTGATTGGGAAGTGAGGCTTTAGTCTGCCCAATGTGATGCTTCTCAAGGCTGAAAGGTAGCCAGGGCTTTCATGAGAAATACTCCCCAGATCTTACATTTAGTTTGATTTTCATTTTACACATGAGTATAAAGTTGCTTGCTGCTTGCTGTAATGTTGTGCTTTGATAGAAAGCTTTCATTAAGTAGTTAGCAAGTTTTGTCATGTTAACATGATTTTGAGGCAGTCAGATGGCGCTGTGAGATGCACATTGTAGGTCCATACTGTGCCAAATGTTATGCTTGGGGTCAGGTTCCAGCTCATGCTGCAGTCCGAAGGGAGTGGGTGGTTGAGTAGATAGCTGAAAGAACACTCCAGGGGGCTGTCGGCAGGTGAAAGGTAGTTTTATTCAGCAGCTCTCTCAGCAGTAGTTTACTCACGCTATCTTGCTCACAATGTTTGCCCTATCTCAGCTGCTTAGTCTGGTGGCTCCCACACACAGCTACGTGGCCAGCTCTCCCTTCAGGGTCCGCAGCCTAACTCTTTCTCTCTCTGAGTGAGCCAAGCCACGTCCTGGCTCCTCACTGTCCATCTAACAAAGCCATGTTATGGCTACATGGCTATGATAACAACTGGAGTTTTATGCCTGTGCTGTAAACTTGCTGAATCACTGTGAATGTTTACCTTGGCTTATTCTTGACCGAAGTACAGCCATGTTCCTTAAGTGCATATTAGGGATTCCCCTCATTCCACCACATGACAAGCAACATGGAGAATTAGCAATTGGCTACATGTGTCTTAGTTGCCAAGTGCTCATCTTGATAGCCATTCATTTCTTGTTTTCATGTCAGTTGAGATCTCTTCATGCCCTCAGACTCTGCCTTCTCCCAGTGCTTCTTAATGGTCAATCATCATGCAAATAACCTAATGAAAGAGTTGCTTTATAAAGAGGAGTTTTTAAGAATGCCAAGATTTTCATACATTTTAACTGTATCCCAAAGGATGTTACTTAATTTAGAATAAAACTATGTCTCAAAATGTCTATTGGATGATTATCATGTTTTGATTGATGGGACCACCTGGCACATATATTGTGTCTTTAATATTATATATTCTTTTAGAACCTTATGTTAGTGTTTTCTTTATTAAAAAAGATATTGTTTTCTTTATTAAGACAAAAGTGATCTGTTCCCACCTGAGTGCTAGAGTTAGAGTGCTAGGTGCAGCAGTACCTGTGGGAACAGGGACTGTCTTCATTGTGTAAAGACTGCTGGCCACCACTTCCTGTGGGCGTGTGTGCTTATCAACCCCTGTTGGATTGGAGGTAGCATGACCTGCCCTTTTCTGTCCCACAGAAATGCTGTAAGGAGTTATGAGAGGGATTTTGTTTTTACTTTTGAAGTATCACATTAGCTAAAGGCAGAGCAGTACTGTGTTAGCATTGTTATTGTATTAGTTAGCTTGTGAGGGGGGGTCCTACTGTAAACTACATTACTGATAGTCTCTCTTAAACTAGATTTTGGTTTGTTTAGCTAACGGTTCAATGGCTATTACAGCCACAACCCCAGTACTTGACAAGAGATTATTTAGCAGTCTTGAAGGAAGGAATCTGGTTTAGGTTTTGCTTTCTTTTAATAGGCCTACATGGCATCATGTTTTCCTTTGAAGGTAAGGCTTCTTCCTAGTAATTACATTCTTAGCTGACATGACACATTTGAAGGATTTTAAAAGAAAAAAAAAAGCAAACTTCTATTTTTAGAAGCTGAAACCAGAACCATGACTTTGGCGTTGATGAAGAGAAGCTCAGTAATTTAGGACCTGCAGCTTTATATTCTCTCCGAGTCTTCAGTTCACAGTCTTATTTTTAGAAACTGGTTTTTATGCTTGCCTGGAAAGTCTTCTGCAGTAGAATGGAGTTATCTTTTTAAAAAGAACTTAGAAATAGTAAAATAATTTATATGCTGTCAGTTCAGTTAAAAATTTTGATGTAGTAATTGACAAAGGTAGCAATAGGAAGAAAGAATCAGTTGTAGCCTCTACATCTCCAAATAAGGGATAAGAATCAGAACAGTCGTGTCTGATCAACTTTAACTCAAGTGAGCTAAAGAAAAATCCGCTGAAACATGTTAGAATTAAAATATTAACAAATGGATTTGACAGTACCAGAGGCTAACTTGAACCACATGTCTTTTTACATACTTTGTGTATATACCTTTTTTTTTTTTTTTTTTTTTTTTTTTGAGACAGAGTCTTGCTCTGTTGCCAGGCGCCGGGCTGGAGTGCAGTGGCGCAATCTTGGCTCACTGCAATCTCCACCTCCTGGGTTCAAGCAGTTCTCCTGCCTCAGCCTCCTGCGTAGCTGGGACTACAGGCGCGCATCACCACGCCCAGCTAATTTTTGTATTTTTTAGTAGAGACAGGGTTTCACCATGTTGGCCAGGATGGTCTTGATTTCTTGACCTCGTGATCCGCCCACCTCAGCCTCCCATCTGTATATAACTTTTTACAATCATGAAGGAGAATTTTATCACAAATCTAGCTTTTAAAAACATTTTTCCTCTATATAACTTATGAAAATATAATTATAGGAAGAACCATATAGGAAGAATCTTTTCTTCAGACTTTTTCCTATTGTTAGTACCAGATATCTCTTTATTATCTTTTTCTTTTTTATTTCTAAGAAGTAGAGTTTGCGTTTAAATTACTCTGAAGCTTTATGAGGGGAACTGAAAACTTTGTGTTTCTGTTCCACACTGCAGACATTTATTTTCCAGACCTCAATAAGGGGTCTTATGCCTGATATTTTTATCACCTGTCTCTGGTAACGGGTAGATAGGAGATAAGGGAGGTAGCCCCCAGGAAACTTAAGCTGATAAACCTTAAAGACCTCAAAGCTTATCAAATTTTATCTCTCTCTCTCTTTTTTTTTTTTTTGAGATGAGATCTTGCTCTGTTGCTCAGACTGGACTATAGTGGCACTGTCATAGCTCATTGTAGCCTTAAACTCCTGGATTCTAGCTGTCCTCCCACCTCAACCTCCTGAGTAGGTGGAACTACAGGCCCACACCACCATGCCCAGTTAATTTTAAATTTTTTGTAGAGACAGAGGTATCATGATGGTGCCTGGGCTGGTTTCAAACACCTTACCTCAAGCAGTCCTCTGCCTCAGCCTCCTAAAGTGCTGGGATTATGGGTGTGAACCACTGCGCCTGCCAAATTTCATTTTATAAGCAGCCATATTCTTAGTAAGATACTGTATTAGGAACTCATGGAAAATATTCTGTCTCCCCAAATATGGCACAATACATTGCTTTAGAGTTCTCCATATCTACTGAACACACTTCCTCTTGAAGACCTGAAGACACTCTTCTCCACCCACTGAGTCATTCTAAGTAATTACTATGGATGAGAGAATTACAAATTTTATTTAATATTGCCAGGAGATACTGTCTTTGGTTAAATTCATTTATCTCTTCCAGATATGTGCATGAGTGTTCAAACCATACTCATCAAATGACTGCTAACAGCAGGAAGTCTTAATTTGATATTGTTACTTGCTATTTCTAATGTAAGCTTTTGTTATCAGATTAGAAGAGATGAAAAGGATTGAAAATACTCTATCAACAAGAATGAAAAGAACTGAACTTTCTTACCTTCACTGTAGTGGAAGGACATATTGGTAAATTTTTTCTAGAGAAAATTTTATGATCTGTATCAAATATTAAAATACATATGCCCTTGGACCTAGCAATTTCCCCTGTAACTATATTTACTAAGGAAATAGTAGACAGGTAGGGAAAGGTATTTGTACAGATTGTAGCATTAACTTAACAACAGCAAAAAAAAGGGAAATATTTTTAAATAGAGGATTCCTTGAATTACAGCATTTCATACAAGGGAGTATTATGGTTCTGTTAAAAGGATGTTTCATGTTCTATTTTTATTGGCATCAAAAAATATTCACTATATACTACTACATGAGAAAAGATTACAAAACAATGTAATGTGTATAAAATGAATTCATTTTTGTTCTTAAAATATATATGGGTATATTTTTATGTCTGGTAATTCACTGTACTGCTTTTTATAGTGGTTATTTTCAAGGGGGAGGAGAGACTACTAGCCTCTTGTCTAATTTGTACACTACTATGTAGTTTAAAATTGTGTATTTACTTGTCTTGCTTTGTAGTCAAAGAGAATAGTAAAGATATTTACATTCTGGAAAATAAAAGAATATACAGGTTTAGAGTAGGCAGTATGACATTGACCTTTGCATTGTACTCCTTGGTGGAGTGCCCTTATAATATTTGCTGAAGCGTATCATGCACAATCTCCAGTCCATTTCATGCAGTTTGGCACATTTTCCCTGTGCAGTGAGAAGATTGCTCACGTCTGGCATCGTGATTCAGGTGTTTCCACTGCATGACAATGAAGCCCTGAAGAAGCTTGAGGACACCTGGTATACACGGTTTGCTTTAAAGTATCAGCCCATAGGTATGTGTCAGTATTTGTTCTCTTAAAGAAGAGGAAGGCCTCTAATGAAAAGTTATGATCCAGCAGTGGAGTCAGCTCCCTTGGGCAGATATTTAGTGCTCTACTAGGCAGGATCACCAACTGCATATGGGAAATCATTTTGGCAGGAGGGAGGAATAAGATGGGTTAGATGACCCTCTCATTTTTTTTATTAACTTTTTTTTTTTGTTATTTTTTGAGATAGGGTCTCACTATGTCACAGGCTGGAGTGCAGTGGTATGATCATGGCTCACTGCAGCCTTGACCTCCCAGACTTAATCAATCCTCCCATCTCAGTCTCCTGAGTAGCTGAGATCGCAGGTGTGCACCACCATGCCCAACTAATTTTTTGTATTTTTTTGCAAAGACGGGGCTTCACCATGTTGCTCAGGCTGGTCTTGAACCCCTATGCTCAAGCAATCCTCTTGTCTTGGCTTCCCAAAGTGCTGGGATTATGGGTGTGAGCCACTGTGCCTGGCGTTTTTTGACTTTCTAATATTATCCCAGATCAGCTGAATCACAGGCTTTCTTTCACTACCCTTCACCAACAACACAGACAGTTCAGAGTGGCCTTCCTGAATATGTGGCAGAGTTGGAATCAAACAAGTTTTAATAAGAATTTAGTTTGACTATGAATGACTATTTTGTGTTTGAAATTTTTTATTTTTGAGGAGCCAGTTATTTAGAATGAACCAAGCTATGCCATACTTAGGGCAGCTAGCAGGCCAAATATCTTTTGAGGTGATTTGTAATTACCTTGGCGTGTATTACTGGATCTATCCATTTTCTCTGAATATAATTATGAAGCTATTAATTTATTTGGTATGTGCCGGACATTATTTAAAATTCTGTCAATATGGATGTTCAAGTATTTTAGTCTGGTTGTGTTTTTTTTTTTTTTTTTTTTTTTTTTGACGGAGTTTCGCTCTTGTTACCCAGGCTGGAGTGCAATGGCGCAATCTCGGCTCACTGCAACCTCTGCTTCCTGGGCTCAGGCAATTCTCCTGCCTCAGCCTCCCGAGTAGCTGGGATTACAGGCACGCGCCACCGTGCCCAGCTAATTTTTTGTATTTTTAGTAGAGACGGGGGTTTCACCATGTTGACCTGGATGATCTCAATCTCTTGACCTTGTGATCCACCCGCCTCGGCCTCCCAAAGTGCTGGGATTACAGGCGTGAGCCACCGCGCCCGGCCCGGTTGCGTTTTTTAAGCATAAGAATTAAATTTAAGCTGGTAGATTTCACATTAGCATTACTATCATTTTTTTTCTTTAAATGACATTTTCCTTTGGATTTTGTTTAATGGTATCCTTCGAAAATAATTTTCTTTCTGCTTTCTGTTTCTGAAAACAACTATCATATAATGTGTACCAAACAAAAATTGTTTTTAAGATCAAACTCTGAAATTACATTTGAATTTTGTTGTATTCTCTGAAAGGAAAAGTTTTGTTTTTGATAATTCCAGGTCATATAATAGTCATTTTATGTTACACTTAAAACTGTTTTACTTTGTTTTGGCATTTAAGTGGCAGGAAATTTGAATATTACTTCTAGGACTTGTAAAGTGACTGTATCTATTAGCTACTTTTTTTTTTGACATGAAGTCTCACTCTGTGGCCCAGGCTGAAGTGCAGTGGCACGATCTCGGCTCACTGCAATCTCTGCATCCTGGGTTGAAGTGATTCTCCTGCCTCAGCCTCCTAAGTAGCTGAGACTACAAGTACACACCACCATGCTTTGCTAATTTTTGTATTTTTGGTAGAGACAGAGTTTCACCATGTTGACCAGGCTGGTCTTGAACTCCTGACCTCAGGTGATCTGCCTGCCTTGGCCTCCCAAAGTGCTGGGATTACAGATGTGAGCCACTATGCCCAGTCTCTATTAGCTAATTCTTAGAAAGTAAGGGGAGAAAGTGAGTTGATGGTGAAGGCTAGGCATGAGTGGTAGTGGATTTGGGGTATCTGGGGACTGAGACTGGTGATAGCATCTGGAATATAGGTGACTCTTGAAGCTCCCCGAGATTGAAAGGGGAAGGTCATCTGCTGTGGAGCCAAGTGTCATGAGCACCTTTAAAAAAAATGATGGATGTTCTTTAACCTCATTCATATCCACCATTTTCATTTGCTCCTGGGTTAAGGGGAAGAATTAAGGATAGGAGAAAATAAGCCTATCTCAGTTCATTCTAATCCACCTTTGTAGACTACTCAAGTTATCTTAAGAAAAATATTTTAACTGTTTGTTGTTAACTAAGAAATAATAACGCCAACTGCCACACTTCTTCTCAACCCCTGCTTCCCACCCTGGTCCTGGTGCAGGATGCTCTTATGATCTCAGCACTCCCCATGTGGATGATGCTGGCAAAGGAAGCAGTGTTGGTGACCTCTCTAGAGTCAGTTAGCTTGTGTTGAGTTCACAGAACATTAGCAGTCATGTTGCTTGGACCTTTTTCTGCCCAGTGCATATATATGTTCCATGGCTGTTCTGGAAGTTAATGTGTAGAATCCTGTTTTGTGCTTTTGAATAATTTTTCTTTAGTGTAGAAGGGAAGGGCAGAATTTTATGGATGGGGAGTCTTCTTCAAAAAGGACATTTATAACACTAAAGTGGGAGAAAAGTGGGGAGCATAAATTAAACCTCCAAATTAATGTTCAATGGCCATGGCTCAACTTAAATTAGGAACTTGGAGATTTTGAGTCAGCTACAAGATGAGTTTTCCTTTGGGAAGAGGGTATCCACCAGGTGAGGGGAAACAGAGTCCAGGCACCTGACAGAGCAGCCCCCGCAGCTAAGGCCTGGGCTCTAAGCTTGGAGAAATGTTGGGCCTGCCATGCAGACAAGCAGGGTCTTTTTACTGCATGGAGGATGGATTGACCACCACATGCTGATTGGGAAGTGACGGTTAAATGATCCCCACTTAACTAAAAAATGAATAAACATACTTGAAATGATTTTTTAAAGTCTTTGGTAGTCTATATTTATGTTCTTCCTTTCTTTCCACTATAGACAGTATTCGTGGCTACTTTGGGGAAACAATTGCTCTGTACTTTGGATTTTTGGAATATTTCACTTTCGCATTAATCCCCATGGCTGTCATTGGGTTACCTTACTACTTGTTTGTGTGGGAAGACTATGACAAGTACGTGATCTTTGCCTCATTCAACCTGATCTGGTCCACGGTGATTCTGGAAGTGTGGAAGCGTGGCTGTGCCAACATGACCTACAGGTGGGGAACACTGCTCATGAAGAGAAAGTTTGAGGAGCCCCGGCCGGGATTTCATGGTGTCTTGGGTATCAATTCCATCACTGGGAAGGAGGAGCCTCTGTACCCCAGCTACAAGAGACAGATGCGCATTTACCTGGTCTCTCTGCCATTTGTGTGCCTCTGCCTCTATTTCTCACTGTATGTCATGATGATTTACTTCGACTTAGAGGTTTGGGCCTTGGGTCTCCATGAGAACAGTGGGTCTGAGTGGACCAGTGTCCTGTTGTATGTGCCCAGCATCATCTATGCCATTGTGATTGAGATCATGAATCGTCTGTATCGATATGCTGCCGAGTTTTTAACTTCATGGGGTAAGACTTGAGGCTTTATATTCATGTCTTACTTGCCTGTAAGAAACATTGCTTAGATCATGGGATTCATATAGCTGCTACCTTGCAGAGAAAATAGATGTTGCTCTTGGCTCTTTGTAGAGACATAGGAAAATTCATCAGCTTTGTGAACACTGATGATCTCCTTGCCATAGTTAATTTATTTATCCATTCAAACCAATGAACAAATTTGCTCTATTATTCCCTAGGAAGAAGTCTGGGCCTTAACTTTGTGGGGCATAAAGATGTTTAGGGGCTGGGCGCAGTGGCTTACACCTGTAATCCTAGCACTTTGGGAGGCTTAGGTGGGCAGATCACAAGGTCAGGAGTTTGAGACTAGCCTGGCCAATATGGTAAAACTCCATCTCTACAAGAAATACAAAAAGTAGCCAGGCATGGTGGCAGGTGCCTGTAGTCTCAGCTACTCAGGTGGCTGAGGCAGGAGAATCACTTGAACCCAAGAGGTGGAGGTTGCAGTGAGCTGAGATTGTGCCACTGCACTCCAGCCTGGGTGACAGAGTGAGACTCCCTCTCAAAAAAAAAATGTTTTAAATTATTTTTATTCGTGGTATAAAAACATCAGCTGTCATTTATTGAGTACTTTCCTTGTGCTAATACTAGACTAAGGTTTTACATTATTTCTGATCCTGAGAAGGACCTTGGGAGAGGATGGTCAGCTTTGTTTTGTAGGCAATATGGCTGAGTAGCTAAGTTGGTGTTCAAATCCAGGTCAGTCCAACACTCTCTAAGATGACACTTATCTTCAGAATCTTCCTATTTGTCATTTTATCTTGCTGTTTTGGGGTCTATACAGTGTTACCTTTTCTAGATGAGGAGAGAAATTTGAGTTTCCTTTCAAATTAATCCTTGTAAGCCACATGAAACTTTACTTATAGAACTTTATTTATAGAAAACTTTATTTATTGTCCTATTCTTCAGAGGTTACTATTAGTTTTCACTATTATTTCTTATACAGAGTTTTGGGTGGCTGTCTGTAGGATTGTTTGCCAGCACTTCCCAAATTTCTTTGTGTCAATAATTTAAAAAATAATTTCAGACTATAGCGCTATTGCAGGACCCTGAAAAATGTGTCCTTGTTTGATGCTCTTGGTGGTGAGGCATAGCTGTGATTGACAGCCTAGCACATTTACTGACAGGCTCTGATGTTGGACATCTCTGCCCTCAGTGCAAGTCCCACTTTACTTCATAACAGTGCTTTCATATTGTTTTCTTACTGAGAAGTTACCTCTGTGCTTTGATGTTTCAGAGAATCACAGACTGGAATCTGCCTATCAGAATCATCTAATTCTGAAAGTTTTAGTGGTAAGTATAGTGTTTATATACAAATCCATTTTATGAAACTGATATGTACTGCATAATGGATAGGACTACAAATATGAACAGTTACTTCTAATTTAAGATATCAATATATTTTTTACAAATAGGCAAGGACTGATTAAAAAATTGTTTACCTCTGTGTTCAGTATTACAAATGTGCATGTGATGTAAGAGTTCAAAATATAGGAGTTAGTATTGTAGCCAGTTTCCAGTTATTTAAAAACTAGGCCAGGTGCAGTGGTTCATACGTGTAATCCCAGCACTTTGGGAGGCTGATGCGGGTGAATCAAGAGTTTGAGACCATCATGGCCAACATGGTGAAACTCTATCTCTACTAAAAATAGAAAAATTAGCTGGGGATGGTGGCATAGGCCTGTAATCCCAGCTGCTCGGGAAGCCGAGGCACGAGAATTGCTGGAGCTTGGGGATGGGGAAGTTGCAGTGAGCCAAGATGGCACCACTGCATTCCAACTTGGGTGACAGAGCAAGGCTCTGTCTCAAAAAAAGTAATAAAAATAAATAAAAAAACTAACTGGCTAGATGTGGTAGCCCACACCTATAATCCCAGCACTTTGGGAAGCTTGAGGCAGGTGGATCACTTGAGGCTGGGAGTTTGAGACCAGCCTGGCTAACACAGTGAAAACCCATCTCTACCAAAAAATACAAAAAAAATTTGCCAGATGTAGTGGTGCATACCTGTAGTCCCAACTACTTGGGAGGCTGAGGCAGGACACTTGAACCCAGGAGGTGGAGGTTGCAGTGAGCCAAGATCACACCACTGCACTCTAACCTGGGCAACAGAGCAAGACCCTGTCTCAAAACAAAACAAAAATCGAACGACTTTTTAGACATGTTTCTATTCTTTTCCTTTTGGTTATTTCTTTGAATGTCTTGCTATTCTGTAATCCTTCCTGGCACCACAACCTGTTTAGTGATGGAACTTACATTAAAAAAATTTTTTTAATGTCCAAAGTTCAAAAGGTTCCAAGTATATTTCGATAGTTGGGAGGAAAGAGACAGAAAGCAGTATGTAATCTGTTTGCTGTTTGTATAAAAGCTGACATGTCATGCCTCTTTTTACCATTATTATAAATAATAAATACCAGCTTGAAAACACCTCATTTATCAGGGGTTTACCTCAGTCATCTGTAACGTAAGTGAGAATCAAGAAACGTGCATGAAGAATCCTCTGAACTTTCAACTGGTATTGATTTAACATAGTCCATGTACTTCACTCCCAAGGGAAGGATCCAGACCTCATTTAAAATCTCTGTTCTAGCCATAGAAGTCATTCTAAGAAGTTTATCTATCTGGTTTTTTGGTCCTTAAAAAATCAGAAACCACCATCACGAGGGTGTTTAGATTTCTGGAAGTAGGCAAACCTGCAGAAAAAGAACATGTAAGGAAATGAAAACCTGTCATAAGAGATAAGAATTCAACAATTGGGCATTAGGAAAGGGACAAGTAGCCGTACATATCCAAAAGGTTTCAAAGGCATCCTTCACTCTGTGAAATGGTTCATACTTAAAATGTTGATGCTAAACCACCAAGGAAGTTCTGTGCTCTCTGTGTAAGAAAGTAGAGGAATGTGGAATGCATTGAAAAGTTCATTCAAAAAGTTATAATGGGAGGAGATTTTTCCCTCAGAGGTAAAAACACTCCATTAGTCTGAAAGAATTCAGTTATTTGTGAGACTTTATTGTTCTCTGATGATGTCAGATATAGTTAAGTAACTGCCTTGTAAAAAAAATGCCGTTGATCAAAGTCTTCTTCTTCCACAATGCTTCTTAGGCTTCCCCCATCCTATTTTCTTTCTTAAATTTATTATACTTTAAGTTCTGGGGTACATGTGCAGAATGTGCAGATTTGTTACATAAATATACACGTGGCATGGTGGTTTGCTGCAGCCATTCCCCCGTCATCTACATTAGGTATTTCTCCTGATGTTTACCCTCCCCAATCCCCCCACCCCCGGCTATTCCTCCCCCTACACCCTCTGACAAACCCTGGTATGTGACATTCTCCTCCCTGTGTTCTCATTGTTCAACACCCACTTATGATTGAGAACATGAGGTGTTTGGTTTTCTGTTCTTGTGTCAGTTTGCTGAGAATGTTGGTTTCCAGCTTTATCTGTGTCCCTGCAAAGGACATGAACTCATCCTTGTATATGTGCCACGTTTTCTTTATCCAGTCTATCATTGATGGGCATTTGGGTTGGTTCCAAGTCTTTGCTGTTATAAATGGTGCCACAATAAACATATGTGTGCATGTGTCTTTATAACTGAATGTTTTATAATCCTTTGGGTATATATGCAGTAATGGGATTGCCAGGTCAAATGGTATTTCTAGTTCTAGATCCTTGAGGAATCTCATACTGTCTTCCACAATGGTTGAACTACTTCACACTCCCACCAACAGTGTAAAAGCATTCCTATTTCTCCACATCCTCTCCAGCATCTGTTGTCTCCTAATTTTTAATGATCACCATTCTAACTAGTGTGAGATGGTATGTCAATGTGGTTTTGATTTGCATTTCTCTAATGACCAGTGATGATGAGCTTTTTCTCATATGTTTGTTGGCTGCATACATGCCTTCTTTTGAGAAGTGTCCTCATATCGTTTGCCCACTTTTTGCTGAGTTGTTTTTTTCTTGTAAATTTATTTAAGTTCTCTGCAGATTCTGGATATTAGTCCTTTGTCATATGGGTAGATCACAAACTTTTTTTCCCCATTCTGTTGGCTGCTGTTTCACTCTATTGATAGTTTCTTTTGCTGTACAGAGCTCTTAAGTTTAATGAGATCCCATTTGTCTATTTTGGCTTTTGTTACCATTGCTTTTGGTGTTTTAGTCATGAAGCCTTTGCCCATGCTTGTGTCCTTAATGGTATTGCGTAGGTTTTCTTTTAGGGTTTTTATGGTGTTAGGTCTTATGTTTAAATATTTAATCCATCTGGAGTTAACTTTTGTATAAGGTGTAAGGAAGAGGTTCAGTTTCAGTTTTCTGCATATGGCTAGCCAGTTTTCCCAACACCATGTTTTGTCAGGTTTGTCAAAGATCAGATGGTTGTAGATGTGTGGCATTACTTCCAAGACCTCTGTTCTGTTCCATTGGTCTATATCTCTGTTTTGGTACCAGTACCATACTGTTTTGATGACTATAGCCTTGTAGTAGGCTTGTAGTATAGTTTGAAGTCAGGTAGCATGGTGCTTCCAGCTTTGTTTTTTTTTTTTTCTTAGGATTGTCTTGTCTTTGTGGGCTCTTTTTTGGTTCCATATGAAGTTTAAGGTGGTTTTTTCCAGCTCTGTGAAGAACGTCAATGGTAGCTTGATAGGGATAACATTGAATCTAAAAATTACTTTGGGCAGTATAGCCATTATCATGATATTGATTCTTCCTAACCATGAGCATGGAATGTTTTTCCATCTGTTTGTGTCCTCTCTTATTTCCTTGAGCAGTAGTTTGTAGTTTTCCTTGAAAAGGTCCTTCACATCCCTTGTTAGTTGTATTCCTAGGTATTTTATTCTCTTTGTACCAATTGTGAATGGGAGTTCACTCATGATTTGGCTGTCTGTTTGTGTGTTATTGGTGCATAGGAATCTTGTGATTTTTGCACATCAATTTTGTATCCTGAGACTTTGCTGAAGCTGCTTATCAGCTTGAGATTTTGGGCTGCGATGATGGGGTCTTCCAAATTTGCAGTCATGTCATCTGCAAATAGAGACAAATTGACTTCCTCTTTTCCTAATTGAATACCCTTTATTTCTTTTTCTTGCCTGATTGCCCTGGCCAAAACTTCCAATACTATGTTGAAGAGGAGTGGTGAGAGAGGGCATCCTTGTCTTGTGCTGGTTTTCAAAGGAAATGCTTCCAGTTTTTGCCCATTCAGTATGATATTGGCTGTGGGTTTGTCATAAATAGCCCTTATTTTGAGACACGTTCTGTTGATACCTGATTTATTGAGAGTTTTTAGCATAAAGGGCTATTGAATTTTGTTGAAGGCCTTCTCTACATCTATTGAGATAATCATGTAGTTTTTGTTTTTGGTACTGTTTATGTGATGGATTGCATTTATAGATTTGCATATGTTGAACCAGCTATGCATCCCAGGGATGAAGCCTATTTGATTGTGGTGGATAAGCTTTTCGATGTGCTGTTGGATTTGGCTTGCCAGTATTTTATTGAAGATTTTCACGTTAATGTTCATCATGGATATTGGCCTGAAATTTTCAGTTTTAGTTAGATCTCTGCCAGGTTTAGGTATTAGTATGATGTTAGTCTCATAAAATGAGTTAGGGAAGAGTCCCTCTTTCTGTATTGTTTGGAATAGTTTAAAAGACACTGACTGGCAAATTGGATAAAGAGTCAAGACCCATTGGTGTGCTGTATTCAGGAGACCAGTTTCATGTGCAAAGACACACATAGGCTCACAATAAAGGGATGGAGGAAGATTTGCCAAGCAAATGGAGAGAGAAAAAAAAAAGCAGGGGTTGCATTCCTAGTCTCTGATAAAACAGACTTTAAGCCTCTCCCTTCCTTTTTAATCTTAAGGGGATGGTGTTTCATAGTCTCCCTAGGCTTTTGCTTTTCAACTTCTGCTCTAACTTAGCACCCCTGTCCTGTGGCTGTATTGATCTTACCGCTCATTTTCTAGAATTACTCCCCATCTCTATGGTAATTAAGCACTCACTCCTGTACACATAGCAGCCTTTGTCTAAGTGATGCTACTAGGCAGGAAGTAGTCAGCATGGGGACTGGGAGGCAGAAAGGAAACCCATTCATGCAGGGGATAACTGTAGATTATTGAGCAGGGAACTCCTGGAAGAGATGGCACTTTTTGTGGCAGGATCCCCCTGATTGGTACTCCCCTTCGCCCAGCCTGCTGCTCTGTATCTGGCAGAGCAAGAGAGTTGATGCTCATGGTAACAAAGATGCTTCCCGGGCCAGACTGGTTGTTACAGCCTCCCAGTTACCTGCTGTCTCTCTGTGATAGAGAGAATCTCAGGTCCATAGGCATGAAGAGGCCTCTTATATCAGGCCCTTGTGGTGGGGGCCCCCTTGCTAGTGCCACCCAGCTGACCCACTTACTCTTCGTGGGGTTTTGAGGCAGGCTTGCTTTGCTGGGGCTTTTCTTGCCTGTGTTGCCTGGCCATCCTGGGATCTCTCCATGGAGCATGGGAGTCTCAGGCCCAGCAAGGAATAAGAACACTTACCCAGGAAACTTATTTTTAGTTTAGGGTCCTCATTGATTTCACCTTGCCAGTTTAGCTGGGCTCTCCTGGCACTGACAGGACTCCTATTCTGATATGGGAGGAATGAGCCTACTTGGGCTACCTGGGTTGTTAGATTGCGATTGGGAAATGCCAGGCCTGGGTCTCCTCCTGTTGAGTGGGGGAACTGGAGATATGCATGTGCTGTTTTTGTTGTTCCTTTAGCTCTGGGGTCCTAGACCATCCCATCTTCCTTTAAGCACCTTTCAGAGTTCTCCTTTGGTTGCCTCATTTGTTATTTCCAGAGTTTGTTTGTTTATTTAGTAAGGAGACATGGGGAGAAACAAGACTTTGCCATTTCATTCAGACTGGAAGTCTCTCATTACATTTTTAAATGCTACATTACAGGTGTAATAAAGTACTCTAAAGCAGCATTTAACACTGTTATCTTTTCTTTTTTTTTTTTTTTTTTTTTTTTGCCAGTTCAACTTTCTCAATTGCTTTGCCTCACTCTTCTACATTGCCTTTGTCTTGAAGGATATGAAGCTTTTGCGCCAGGTGAGTATGAATAACAGAAAAATACTAATTTTTTAGGTCATAGAGGTGGTTTCCTATCTTTAAATGCTGTAATTGGCTTCAAATCCTTTTTACAAATGAAATCTTACAAATTTTGTATATGTTTAAGTCAAATTCTAAATAAAATACCATTAGGAATTGCATTGTCTATTAGGTTCAACTGAAAAGAAATGAGTTGAACCTAACCAACTTGAAAAATTAATAGTATAGGGCAGTAAAATCAATTATATAGTTTACCTCAAAGCTTGTAAGCAACTTTAGCAGCAAAAATGTAGTATTCATTAATCAAACTGTTTTTTGTCCCTTGGATGTGGATGATTGGTGTAACCTGAAACAGGTCTTGCAAATTTAATTTTTAAATTAGTAAGTTGTTAAACTTTAGAGACCAGTGGATCCTATGCAGTGCTGTATCTTTTCTGAAGTGTCTGATATTTATTTTGGTGTGTTGCCATTTGTGGATCACTTAATGCCAATGAATAATAAATTAAGAACAACTTATTGATTTCTAAATTCTCCTTTTTATATTTGAACCAGTTATAAGTAAAAGGCTATTGTTTCCGAGTTTTAATATTCTGAGATTGTTAGTGAACAGTCTAAAAGCCTAGACTTCACTTGTTAAAAATTATTTTTGAAAATAGAGAACATTCAAAGTAATACATTCAGAATTGATGAGCTGGAGATATATATCTTCTCTGGTCCCATTTATAATAGTATATTATTTGGGTATGACTTCTCATTTCTTTCTTTTTTTTAAAATTTTTTATTGCATTTTAGGTTTTGGGGTACATGTGCAGAACATGCAAGACAGTTGCATAGGTACACACATAGCAGTGTGTTTTGCCTCCTTTCTCCCCTTCACCCACATTTGGCATTTTTCCCCAGGCTATGACTTCTCATTTCTTATGCTTTAGAGAGTCTCCTTTACTTAGCAGAAGTTAGGGGAATGGAGGAAGACTGCTTAAAAAAACAGAGTTGTAGTACCAGCAAAGGTGAGGTGTGATGTAAACACTCATATCAGAGAAAAGTGGAGATTAATACAACATCTCTGGAAACCAGCTCTCTTGATAGCTTTGCCAAGAATGTTAACTCATCCCTAGAAATCTTCAGAGAAGAGCAAAGATTCATGTGCATCCAAGCACCAGCATTATAATAGTGAAAATTGGGAGTAATACTTAATTCAGCAGCAGTGTACAGGCCAAATAAAAAAATTTTTAATGACACAGAAAAATGCTCACACATATTAAGTGAGAAAAGCAGTAAACAAAGTTGTATACATAGAGGATAATTATAGTTTTATTTTTATATGATTGGAAAGAAATATCCCAAGAAATAGCAGTGGTTTTGTCATGGTTGTGGAATTATGAGTGGCTCTTTTTATCCTATTTTGTTTTTTTAAAATTAATACATAATAGTTGTATGTTTTTATGGGGTATGTATGCTATTTTGTTACATTCATAAAATAATGAAGGCCAGGTGTGATGGCTTATGCCTGTAATCCCAGCACTTTGGGAGTCTGAAGCAGGCAGATTGCTTGAGCTCAGGAGTTTGAAACCAACCTGGGCAACATGGCAAAATCCTGTCTCTATAAAATGCACAAAAAATTAGTTGGATGTGGTGGCACACACCTGTAGTCCCAGCTACCTGGGAGGCTGAGGTGGGAGGATCACCTGAGTCTGGGAGCTCCAGGCTACCATGAACTGTGATTGCACCACTGCACTGCAAAATCAGACTTCCTGTCAAAAAAAAAGTATAATGGTCAATCAAGGTATTTAGAGTATCTGTCACCTTGAGTATCTATCATTTCTCTATGCTGGGGGAATTCAATGCATTATGGTTAACCATAATCACCCCACTCTGCTCTCAAATATTAGAACTTATTTCTTCTATCTAACTGTATGTTTGTACCTCCTGACCACCTTTCTTTATCCTCCTCTCCCCACCACACACCCTCCCAGCCTCTGGTAACTGTCGTCCCACTCCATCTCAATGAGATCAACTTTTTTAGCTCCCACATATGAATGAGAGCCTGTGATATTTGTCTTTCTGTACCTGGCTTATTTCACTTAACATAATCACTTCCAGTTCTATCTGTGTAGCTGCAATTGACAGAATTTCAGTCTTTTTTTTATGGCCAACTAGTATTCCATTGTGTAGATATAGATATCTACCTGTGTAGATAGATAAGGAATACCACATATTCCTTATCTATTCATCTGTTGATAGACACTGTGGTTGATTCTGTTTATTATTTTGAATAGTGCTGCAGTAAACATGGGGGTGCAGGTATCCCTTTGGTATACTAATTTCTTTTCCTTTGGATAAATATCCAATAGTTGGAATGCTGGATCCTATGGTTATTCTACTTTTAGTTTTTTTGAGCTTTCTCAAAAACAAAAACCTCTCTCCATACCCTTTTCTATAATGTCTGTATTAATTTCCATTACTGCCAACAACAGTGTATAAGAGTTTCTTTTGTTCCACATTCTCGTCAGCATCTGGGTTTTTTTAATAATAGCTATTCTATTTGGAGTAGGATGATATCTCATTGTGGTTTTGATTTGCATTTCCATGATGATCAGTGGTGGTATTTTTTCATATACCTGTTGGCTATTTATATGTCTTCTTTAGAGAAATGTCTCTTCGTGTCTTTTGCCTCCCTCTTAATGGGATTATTGTATTTTTGCTGCTGTTTGAGTTTCTTGTATATTCTGGGTATTAGTTCCTTGTTAGGTGAATAGTTTGCAGATCTTTTCTCCCATTCAACAGATTGTCTCTTCATTGTGTTGATTGATTTCTTTGCTGTGCAGAAGCTTTTTTCTTTCAATAGTCATAGTTGTCTAATTTTGGTTTTGTTGCCTGTGCTTTTGAGGTCTTAGCCAAAAAAATCTTTGTTTAGACCAGTGTCCTATGGTATTTTCCATATGTTTTCTTCTAGTAGTTTTATAGTTTTGGGTCTTATGTTTATGTCTTTAATCTATTTTGAGTTGATTTTTTTCTGGTGATAGAGAGGGTTCGAGTTTCATTCTTCTACATCTGGATGTCTGGTTTTCCCAGCACCATTTATTGAAGAGGGTGTTTTTTCCCCAATATGCATTTTTTTTTTTTTTTGAGATAGAGTCTCGCTCTGTTGCCCAGGCTGGAATGCAGTGGGGCAATCTTGGCTCACTGCAACCTCCACCTCCCAGGTTCAAGCATTTCTCATGGCTCAGCCTCCCAAGTAGCTGGGATTACAGATGTGCGCCGCCACACCCAGCTAGTTTTTGTATTGTTATTAGAGATGGGGTTTCACCATGTTGTCCAGGCTTGTCTCAAACACCCAGTCTCAGGTGATCTGCTCACCTTGGCCTCTCAATGTGCTGGTATTACAGGCGTGAGCCACTGTGCCCAGCCTCAATATAGTTAGTGCCTTTATGGAAAATCAGTTGACTGAAAATACGTGTGTTTTTTTTTTAAATAGTGAAGGGATATGTATTAGTAGTATAATTTAAATTCTTTAAAAAAGAATTTAGCCAAACTGTTTTTTTCCAAAGTTGGCAACATCGCTTAGACTTATATGTTGTAGTCAGAATGAATGTCAAAAAACACAATCGCAAGTTAATTCACTCTTTTTTTAAAGTTTAAAAATTGACAAATAATTGTACATATTCATGAATTACATAGTGATGCTTTGATACATAAAATGTATAGCAATCAGATCAGGATAGTTAGCATATCCATCCTCTCAAACATTTATTATTTCCCTGTGTTGGGACTGTTTAATTGACAGTTTGTTTCTTATTATAATGTTATTTGTATTATATTTTATTTATATTTTAATCTCAGCCTTTCCTGTGAAAAATCATAAATTAGAAGCACCATTCTAACACCTAGCTTTTCTAATACTAGTTTTTATCACACAATAGTATACTCTTAATGAAGATTCCATCTTATTTATTGCATAATTGTATTTCTTCTACAGTTTTATTAAGCTATATTGCCGAAATATTATTTGTATCCTTCTCTTTAGAGCTTGGCCACTCTCCTGATTACCTCCCAGATCCTCAACCAAATTGTGGAATCTCTACTTCCTTATTGGCTCCAAAGGAAGCATGGTGTGCGGGTGAAGAGGAAGGTGCAGGCTTTAAAGGTAGACATTGATGCTACATTATATGAGCAAGTCATTCTGGAAAAAGAAATGGGAACTTATTTGGTAAGTTGGAATATCGCTGAATTAAACATTTACTGAAATTGAATAATAGCCATGCACTTCAACAAACTTTATGCATTTATGATCTCAGATGTGACTATTCTAGACCTGCTTTCCAGTCAGTTTCCTCATCATGAACCACTTTAAAATAAAAAGGATAGAACTGGGCATTGAAGCGCTACTATCTGGAGTCTAAAGATAAGCCTAACACCACACAAGGGCGAATTTGGAGAATTACATGACTGCTTTGCTTTGCGGAGAGCAGGGTAGAAGTAGTTGCCCCAGAGATGACAGAACAGGAGAGATGGTCCCTGGAGAGGCAGCAGCATTGTTCGCTCTTGACACTTCAAACTCATGGAAAATGATGGCTGCACAAGCAAAAGATTGAGACCCATTGATGAACAATGGAATGCCAATCTGAAGACTGAATTTTAGTTTACATTAGTGCTGTTGTTTAAATATGAAACAGTTCCTTTAAGACAGAGACTTTCTGAATTATTAGAAACTAAAAATAATTAGGATCGTTAGAGATTTACACTTTTAATATTTGAAAGGTCTGGCTCATAAAATCTAACCATGTGTTCAACCAACTTTTACTGAGCTCTGACTATGTTCACTGTCTCTATATTTCACATTTGTTTTAGGCCTTGTTTCTTAATATCCTGCACCTTCTTTCTTCTACAATATTCCCTTCTTGCTACAGTATTCTTCCTGGTGAAATAGATCCTTCAGTGGGTCGTATAGTGAGAGCCCATTATTGTGAAACTTTCATAGTCTTGTTTTTCATCTTGAATGGATTTATCTCCTGATTATTGAGCGTCTTGATTGACTTTCATAATTTTTCTCATGTGCTTGGGAATTTCAGTTTGTATGTTCATGTTGAGCAGGACTTTGTCCTTTTCTCTCGGTCACTTCCGCCTTATTTTTGTAGTTGCCCCCACCAAGCTTCCAAGCCCCTCATCCAGAATCAGGTGTTTGCATCCCAGAACTCCCATCTTGTGGTGTTGATGGGGATTTTATAGATCTGGTCACAGAGCCAGTAGGTGGCATTCTGTTGACATGGCTGTAGTTACCAGGCAGCAGTTGTGGCTTTTTTTTTAAGGCCTCCTTTGAAGGGTAGGGGTATGTCCCAATCCCTGGTTTTGCTCAGCAAGCCTGGTTCCAGTTACATTCCAGGGGAGTGGGTGCTCTTGGTTTTCTTCCCAACAGGATACAGATTCTAGTTCCTTCTATCATTGCTGTGTTTGGGGAGATGATTCAAGGTATAAACACATAGCACACTTTGAACAGCAACATTGTTTATATTTATATATGAAGCATAGAGAAAAGACACACACCAATTCTCTCTCTCACAGAGGAAGAATTAAAAAGGAGCATGTGGGCACAAGTGTGGAGCTGTCCTTCTGGATTGGTTGAGTGCCATCTTACTATGGGATAAAAGTTCCCATTAAGTCAGGATCCTTTCCTTGCTTATTCTAGGGGTTGGTATTCTTGGCCACATTTCTTTTCCTTTCTTCACTCTCTTATAGAAACTGTACCAGCAGTCCATCCCCTGTACTCTCATCAGAGAACACAGGCTCTCTGATGTGAAGTAAGGAAATAGTGTCTGATTTATCTCAGGCCTTGGGTCTGGGAGTAAACTCTATGGTTTACAGTGCCATTCCTTTTCTGGCCTGCAGAGTTCTGCACGATCTGGCCATTTCCCACTCCTGATCTCTTACAGGTTTGTTTTTCCCTGTCTCCACTGGAGCGACATGGATATTTGTCATTTTGGTTCTCTTCATGTATTTGGATGGGAGATACTTTTGGGTCACATTCTAGATGATTGTTTCCTATGCACAAATTCTTTCCTCTGGGTTCATTTTTCTCCTAATTGAAATTAATGAATTTGGAATTGTATTTCCTGTAGTCTCATCCTGAATGTTATATATGAGTCTAAAATAATGTTGCCAAGCTTTGGGAAAAAGCAATTTGGCTGAAACCTTAAAAACATTACTATAAAAGTAATACTTTCTCACTCACTGTGGAAAACTTAGAAAATGCAGGATAAAATCAATATATAAATAGAAATCCTCTGTAATATTCCCACCCATGGTCATCCCTTGGGTCTCCTGACCGCTGCTTCACTAGCCAAGGACTAAGGCTGTGTTGCTTCTTGGATCTTCACTGTCCTCTGCTGTCCTTTTCCTGGGAACTGCCTGTTCATATCCAGCTGCCTCGCTGTGCGAGGCTGAATTTTCATGATGACTGTTACAAGTAGAACATCATATTCCTGCACAGTAAATCAACTGCCTCATACTAAATGATACATTAAATCAGGTTTGTCAAAAATGTTAAAAGTGCCAGCCTTTGCATTAACAATTTTTGAAATGTAATTATTCTTTAAAAGATATTTCGTGTATGTTAATATATTATTATTTAAATGAATTTAATGGAAAATTATTAAAGTTTTTTAGCTTTATGTTGTTGTTCATTTGTCGACAGGGTCTCACTTTGTCAACCAGGTTGGAGAGCAGTGGTGACAATCGTGGCTCACTGCAACTTCAACCTCCCAGGCTTAAGTGATCCTTCTGCCTCAGCTTCTTGAGTAGCTGGAACTATAGGCAGGCACCATCATGCCTGACTTATTTTTGTATTTTTTGTAGAGACAGGCTCTCACTGTGTTGCCCAGGCTGGTCTTGAACTCCTGGATTTAAGCAGTTCTCCCACCTTGGCCTCCCAAGGTGTTGGGATGAACTACCATGCCTGGCCTGATTTCTCAGTTTTAATTAATAGTATGGTAAGCATCACTAGATAAAGCTGACATAAACAAATTGTCTTTAATGTCCTCAATATTTTAGTTTAGGGCTCCTAAGACCAAAAAAGTTTGAAAACTGCAGCTCTAGAGCAACCCCCTTGCCATTTTCCAAGGAATTGGCTTTTGTAAATCTATCGTTTGATCTTATTTCTCATAAGATTTGAGTGAAATGATTTTGGAAGTCTGCCACCATTGCACCCCATCAGGAAACATTGACATCTGGTTGCTCATTTTGTGGGGTCACCTTGTTTGATCATTTGGTTGGTTTGGTAAAACATAGATTGCACAGGGCGTTTTTTTTTTTTTCATTTTATAACGAATAAATCTGTGGGTCAGTACTTTTGAGACTTTCTTCTTCCTTTTTATAAATAGTATCTCTTTAAAAATACGATTTCTAATTGTTTGTGCTGGAATATGGGAATGCTGTTAATTTTTATATCTTTTACCCACAGTTTTGCTGAACTCTCCTGTTATTTCCAATACATTTTCTACAGATTTTGTTGGATTTTCTAGAGACAGTAATTTGAGCTATAAATAATGACCGTTTTCTTTCTTCCTTCAGTTTTTACCCTTTTTGTTATCTGTTAGGCTTACTAGAATGTTCAATACAATTTGAACAGAAGTAATTATTACAGGAATCTTTATCTTATTTCTGATTTTTTATCTTCTCACCATTGTATGTTATATTTGTTACATGTTTTTAGTAAATAACATTTTATCAGTTTAAAACTTCTCAGCTGAGTATTGATAGCATGGCCCAATAAAATGAGTGAATAGGGTAGGTTGTATCATGGTTAATATAGTGTGTGTGTGTGTGTGTGTGTGTGTATGTTCTTTGTTAAATTTTCATTTTTTTTTTCCTTCTTGCTGTTGGATTATGTCCTGGTTTGCTAAATTATTGGCTCAAAAGCACTCAGAGTGTAAAAGGTACTGATAAAATATTAACGTGTACATATCATCACTCAGAATCACCCCATGAGATGGAAACACAGAGTGTGGAGCATTGCTGCTGTGTTTAGGAAGGGCTTCCTCAGTGCTATATACTAATAACACTAAGAAGGCTTTTGCATGATTTTCAGAGGCTTCCCAGTGGCACACCTGAGAAAAACTGCCTGCATATCTCTGTATAAGCTTGATCTTTTTTTTTTTTTTTTTTTTTTTTTGAGATAGAGTCTTGCCCAGGATGGAGTGCAGTGGTGCAGTTTTGGCTCACTGCAACCTCCGCCTCAGCCTCCCAAGTAGCTGGGATTACAAGTGCATGCCACCACACCTGGCTATATATATATATATTTTGTATTTCTAGTAGAGATGGGGTTTTACCATGATGGCCAGACTGGTTTTGAACTCCTGACCTCAAGTGATTTGCCTGCCTTGGCCTCTCAAAGTGCTAGGTTTACAGTCAAGAGCCACTGCACCGGCTGAAACAGTAATTTTGAATGCTGAGCATAGGGTATCAGGATTTCTTAAGACTGAATGTCTTAAAAGTGGTTTGATTGCTAAGATTTTTTACTCTTTCCCAACTCTTGATTTCTTCATCTTTCAGAGAAAGCGATTGATGCAATGTCACTGGGCGTATTTAAAAACCACAACTAGATGCTGCAACACAACATAAGAACATACTATCTAGAGCCAAATGCAACCAACCAAGTTATTTAGAAACTGCTCATTCTTGAATCCCAAGTGGAGCATTTAACCTGCCAGTTCTGAGGTTTATGTGTTTAGTGGTACTTTCTGGTGAACCTCGAAAATAGCCAGTGAGACTCACTTAGAATCTGTGGGTTCATACTTGATTCAGATATCCAGAACATCTGGAAGAAGCACCTTTTGCTATTCCCAATATCCTATTGTGTTTGAGATTTTCTATTTAGTAAAATATAAAATAATAAAACCTGACTGGAAGTGGACTCTGACTTACACTAATACTGAGCCTAATATGCATATATTAGTGAAAGACTGGTTCAGAGATGCAATAATAATGATGTTTATTAATTTTAAAATATTAATGCTTATCATTGCTTTAAAATATTGTGATGAGTAGTTTTCTTAAACTGAAATTAGTATTGCATATGTGTGGGATGATCGTGATGCCTGAGGGTGCCAGAAGTTGGAGAAACTGGTGTGTGGTGGGGAAACTGAGGGTTTTTTTTTTGAATAGTTAGAGGCCAAGGCTTGGAATAATACTGCAAAAGGATATTCCTATTATATGATATTAAAATAATACATGCTTGTTATATTTTCAGGGCACCTTTGATGATTACTTGGAGTTATTCCTGCAGTTTGGTTATGTGAGCCTTTTCTCCTGTGTTTACCCATTAGCAGCTGCCTTTGCTGTGTTAAATAACTTTACTGAAGTCAATTCAGATGCCTTAAAAATGTGCAGGGTCTTCAAACGTCCATTCTCGGAACCTTCAGCCAGTATTGGTGTGTGGCAGGTAATTGTTTGAGAAAAAAGTTATTCCTTTAAAAAACGAAAATACGAGATGTTATGACAGGGAAAAAATAAAAAAGCAAGCCCTACAGAGAGATTTAGGAAAACTGGATTTGTTTTGCTGCAAACTAGCTGTGTGACCTTAGATAACCACTTACTTTCTCTAGCTTAACTTTTCTTGTTTTTAAATTGGGGGTTGGAGAGATAAAATGTAATTTCTAAGACCCCTTTCAGATGTGAAACTCTGACAATCTTCTGGGAAAGTAGCCAGCTGAGACTTCAGACTTCATCTCAGTTGGTATTAATGAGCCCCTCCCTACTACAGAGTCAGTGGAAGCCACACGGGGAGCCTAGACTTCTGCTCCTACCTGGCAGTAATGAGACTCCTTTTTTAGTTTCTGCCAGTCTAGTTTTCTACTCATGGGATGGTCTCAGAGGAAGTCTAGTGGAATATAAGGAGTTTCACCACAACCATGCACAGTGGAGCCCACATGAGAACATATATGAGGCACCAGTCCTTCTCTCCATGAAAGAAGAATCAGTAGAAGTCTAGTGGGAAGCCAGAACACCCATCCTTGTCCAGCAGTAATGAGGAATCTTCCCCTGGGTGCCAGTGGTCTTTACATAGGGAACCTGAACTTCTTCCTCTACCTGGTAGTAATAAGGTGTTATCCCCTCTCCTTGCTGGAATGGTATCAGAGGAATCAACTAAAACAGAAGGTTTAGTGTAGAATCTTCTCTCTCCTAACATGTCCAGGTTTCTATTAAAAAAAAAAAAAAATCATTCATCAGGCCAGGTGTGGCTCACAAATGTAATCCTAGCACTTTGGGAGGCCAAGGCAGGCTGATCACCTGAGGTCAGCAGTTCCAGACCAGCATGGCTAACATGGTGAAACCCCATCTCAACTAAAAATACAAAAATTAGTTGGGTGTGCTAGTGGGTGCCTGTAATCCCTGCTACTCAGGAGGCTGAGGCAGAAGAGTCACTTGAGCCCGGAAGGTGGAGGTTGCAGTGAGCGGAGATCACGCCATTGTACTCCAGCCTGGGTGACAGAGTGAGACTCCATTACAAAAAAATAAAATAAAATAAGATCACTCATTATATGAAGAACCAGGAAGAAATCAAGCTTAATGAGAAAAGACAGCAGATGCCGCTACCAAGATGACACAGGTGTTAGAAATATTGGACAGCGAGTTTAAAACACCCTTATATAAAAGTTTCAGTGAGTAATTAGGACCATACTTGAAACAAATGAAAAAAACAGAATTGGATGTCTCAGCAAAGAGATGGAAGATATAAAAGAGATATTGATATTTTAGAAGTGACAAATACCTATAACTGAAATAAAAAGCTCACTGAGTGAGTGCTACAGCAGAATGGAAAGGATAGAGGAAAGAATCAGAAACTGGAAAATAGAATAAAAGAAATTATCGCACAAGCACAGTGGCTATGCCCATAATCCCAGCACTTTGGGAGGCCGAGGCAGTTGGATCACGAGGTCAGGAGTTCAAGATCAGTCTGGCCAACACGATGAAACCCCATCTCTATTAAAAATACAAAAGTTAGCTGGGTGTGGTGGTGGGCACCTATAATCCCAGCTACTTGGGAGGCTGAGGCAAGAGAATCACTTGAACCCGGGAGGCGGAGGTTGCAGTGAGCTGGATTGCACCACTGCACTGCAGCTTGAGCAACAGTGCAAGACTTCGTCTCAAAAAAAAAATTATCCAGTCTGAACAACAGACAGTATTCTGTAAAAACATAACCTCAGGGACTTGTGTGGATTTCAAAAAGAGCTAACATTCATGTTGTTGGCATTACAGAAGGAGATAATAAAAAGGGAGGGTCCCAAAAAGTATTTGAATAGATAATGGCTAAGAATTTTTTAAATGTGGCAAAAGACCTAAAACTGCAGATTCAAGAAGCAGTGTGAACCCCAAACAAGATAAACCAAAGAAATCCTTGTCAACACACATCATAAACACCTGAAAGCTAAAGACAGCATTTCAAGAGAATAAAGAGAAATGACATCATACCTGGAGGGGAAAAGCAATTAGAATGACAGCCAATTTCTTGTTCGAAACCATGGAGGCTAGAAAAAAGTGGCAAAATATTTTTCAGGTCCTTAAGGTATTGTCAGTGTAGAATCCTGGCTGGGTACGGTGGTTCACGCCTGTAATCCCAGCACTTTGGGAGGCCAGGGCAGGTGGATCACCTGAGATCAGGAGTTTGAGACCAGCCTGGCCAACGTGGTGAAACCCTATCTCTACCAAAAATACAAAAATTGGCTGGGTGTGTTCACAGATGCCTGTAATCCCAGTTCCTCTGGAGGCTGAGGTGGAGGTTGCAGTGAGCCAAGGTCACACCATTGCACTCTAGCCTGGGTGACAAGAGTGAAACTGTCTCAAAAAAAAATTGTGTGTGTGTGTGTGTGTGTGTGTGTGTAATCCTATATCCAGAGATAATGTTTTTCAGAAATGAAGGAGAACTAAGAGAATTTGTTGCTAGTAGACCTAAAAGCTATAGGAAGTTCTATTAACTAAGGAATGATAAAAGAAGAAATCTGGGAACATGAGGAAGAAAAACCATGATAACCAAAAATATTAGTAAACAAAATAGACTTCTCTTATTGAGTTTTCTAAGTTATGTCTGATTGTTGAAGCAAAACTTATAATACTGCCTAATGATTCTAAATATATGTAGAGAAAAAGTTTTATTATTATTTTTTGTAGCTGCCACTGTGTTGACCAGGGTGGTCATAAGCTTCTGGCCTCAAGTGATCCTCCCACCTTGGCCTTCCAAAGTTCTAGGATTACAGGCATGAGCCACTACACACAGCCTATGTAGACAAGATACCCTGTCTGATTCTTTACCCTATATCAACAAGTATATTATAAATAAAGGATGGTGGAGGTAAGGTTTCCCATGCTTCACTCAAACTGATAAATGATGACACAAGTAGAATGTGGTAAGTTGTGTATATATAATACCTAGAGCCACAACTAAAAATATTAAACAAAAGATATACTCAGGAACATCAAGGTAAACCAAAATGGAATTCTAAAAAATGTTCAAGTAAACCACAGTAAGGCAGGAAAAAAAAGGAGAGAAGTGAAAAACAGGGAACAAACAGAAAACAAAGGAATAACCAGCCATACTTCCTAACATATCAATGACTACATTACCTATATATGGCCAGACAACAATTAAAGACAGATTGGCAGAGTGGATTAAAACACATGACTCAGGTATATGGTATCTTTAAGAATCTCAAATAGTATTTAGGTAGGTTGAAAGTAAAAGGATAAAAATGATATATATGGAAATATTATTTAAAAGAAAGCAGGAATGACTATATTAATATCAGACATCTGAGCAAAAACATTGCCAGAGAGGACCATTCTATGATGACAAAAGTGTCAAATTATCAGGAAGACATAGCAATCTTAAATGTATATGTACCAAAGAACAGAGTTTCAAAATATGTGAACAAAAAAACTTGAACTGAAAGGAGAAATATTAATAGATAGCCAGGAGAAATGAATGGATATATTCATACAAAGACTGCACAGGAATGTTCATAGCAACTTTATGCACAAAAATCCCAAGCTGGAAACAACCCAACTTGCCACCAGTAGGTAAATGGAGAACAAAAATTTTGACATATTCATAAAATGGAATACTGCTCAATAAAAAAAGGAATAAAATAGTGATACATAAAACATGGATCAATCACTGAATCATCATGCTGAGTGAAAGAAGCAGACACAAAAGGGTGTATACTATATGATTTCAGTTATATCTAATTTTGGAATATGCAAACAGATGTATATTGACAAATAGTAGATCATATTTTGTTTGGACCCAGGTGTTAAGAGAGGGCTGAATTGCAAGGGTCATGAGGCTGAATTGCAAGGAGGAAATGGAAATGTCCTGTGTCATGTTTGTGGTGGTGGTGGTTTCACAGGTACACCTATAAAACTTAAGGAAGTATGTACTTTAAATGCATGCTGTTTATTGTATGTAAATTATAACTCAATATAGGTGATCTAAAAAAAAAGTTAAAGTTTAGTTACAAACATACTGCAAGTTCAGGAAGCCAGGCATTGTCATATGCTACTGTTGGAAGTATAAGCTGGTCAACCCATGGAGTGTAGCTTCGTGTTATCTATCAAAATGACAAATGCATGTCCTCCTTGACTCAGCCATTTCACTTTGCAGAATTTAGCCTAATTCCACATTTGTTAAGTGATGTACTTAGAAGATCACCAATTGTAGCATTGTTTGTAATAGCAAGTAAATGCCCACCAAGAAGAAAATGGTTACATAAATTCCGAGATGTGGCAAAGAATGAAGGAGCTCTTTTAGTATTGACACAAGAAGTCCCTCAAGACACTTTAAATGACCAAAGTAAGGGGCCTGACGGTGTGTAGTATGCTGAAAAGGGAGTAGGAAAGAGTGTGTGTATTCAAGTGTACTTACTTTGTAGACAAAGTGTCTGAAAGAATACATAAGAAATTGCTAATAGTGGTTATCTTCTAGGGAGAATGGGAGCTGGGAAGTGGATGAAAAAGGGACAAGGGAGCAAGACACTCTTCACTATATACTTAGAATTTTTTATTTTTAAGCTATGTGAATATAATAAAAAATAAGTAAATAGAAATTTTAAACTATTTAAAGAGAAAATAAAGACAGTTTTAGATTTCTTATGAAGAAAATAGTGGAAAAATAATCAGACTACACAAAAGATTTCTAAATAACAAGATGGCAGAAATTCTCCATGGGCAAGATGTATTAAGTTTGGATTCAGTCATCTTTTGTTTTGCTTCTTTTAAAATTTATGTTTCTAATAGTACTTTTGTTTCTTGGAATTAATGGGTAAATTACTAATTAATGACCATATGCTTTATATTAAAGACAAAAAAGCAATGGTCACAACATTTCTCCATCCATCTTCGGCAGTATGCACCAAAGTCTCCTTCAGGGGATACTGGGCCAAGTTTGTCTAGTAGGTCTCAGTGGGGCCTAGCATCTGTATTTCTCTAAAGTTCTATATTTGATTTGCTAAATGATGCCAGGAAAGGATCACCATTTATCATTGGTGCCTTGATTATAAAGCTGGTTATAGCTGAGTCATATGTGGTGTGTGATGTTAAAGTAGAAGGATGGTTTCACAACATAAGTTCTGTTTGAAATCCTACCTGTTTTTTAATGTGAAACATTTTTCCCTGACAGCCCTACTTTAGATTCCCCTTAGATGTGAGTAGAGTAACTTTAACAGTATTCCCAATTCAGGTCTGCCTCCAATTAGGAAGATGGAACATACTGCTTTGGGATATTCGTGCCAAAAGTGTCTTAAATACTGTCTAACAGTATGGCTTTTTTCAGCTAAAAAAAAATCATACCATGACAGAGAAAAAAGTTTAAAATGTACTTGGAATGTTTAGAACTACGGTAAGACATTTTCCTTGATTTTTAGATAATATGAAAAAGGATGAGGAAATATGCAAGCAGTCATTGCAATTTTTAATTTTCATTCTTTTTTCTTTTAGTTGGCTTTTGAAACAATGAGTGTTATATCTGTGGTCACGAACTGTGCTCTGATTGGAATGTCACCACAAGTGAATGCCATCTTTCCAGAGTCAAAAGCCGACCTCATTTTGATTGTAGTAGTGGTGGAGGTAAGTAAAGATTTAAACTTCTTTTAAGGAGCATCCATAGCACGTTTCTCTATGTCTCGGGCTGTCATGACTGACAATTGAGCAATACGGATTTGCTGGTAAGAAAGCAAAAACAGTTCAAGTAATAGAAGACAGGAGGATTCAGGCTGTGTATTCATGGTTATTGCCCAGGTATGAAAAAATGTCACCATTATGCAAACAGGAAGTGACTTTTCCACTGTTGTGCTGGCCTACCCAGTGCTAAGTAGGTAAATCTTACTTGAGGGCCAGGTGCTGTGGCTCATGCCTATAATCTCAGTACCCAGGCCAAGGCAGAAGGATGACATGAGGCCGGGAGTTCAAGACCTGAGCAACATCATAAGACTGTCTCCACAAAAAAATTTTTTAATTACCTGATTTGATTTGGTACCTGATGTGTTGATTCATTCTTGTAGTCCTAGCTATTTGGGAGGCTGAGGAAGGAGGATTGCTTGAGCCCCAGAGTTCAAGGTTACAGTGAGCTACGATGGTACCACTGCACTCCAGCCTGGGCAACAGAGTGAGACACTGTCCCTTAAAAAAAAAAATCTCATTTGAAATCTAATTGTATATATTTAATATGTATTTTTAGTCTATTTTAGAGAAAAGACCATTATTCTTTCTTAAGCAAATAAGTCCTAAGAAATGCTTTTTGATCATGACTTTAGTCTCATTTGCTACAGGTGTGGAATTCATTGTGAAACACTCTCAAACTTCAAAATGTAATTTGCAGGACAATACATAATTTCACATACAAAGCACAAGTAGGCTGTCTGTGCTCTTTTTAGGTTTTCATTTTACCATGTTTCAGAATATGGATTCCTGTAACATCTTGGAAATTAAGCACTAACCAAATGTAAATGGAATAATTTGTAGGAATTTTTTTGTTGCTTGTAGTTATAGTTGTCAAAAATATTGTGACTACCTTTCATTTTTAGATATTTTAAAAACAGAACAGTTATGGAACTCTATAAATGCAGAACTTAGGATCCTGATTGGTGTTTCATATACTTAAGGCCTTAGGACTCAGGGCTGACCAAAGGAAAGGAAATCATGAACTTGCATGTTCCAGTGTTGACCAAAGAAATATATTCTGCTTTGTTCTTTTATTGTATTTGATAGGAATCCGTGTTCATGATAGATGCTATATGTGGAATATGCATTTTGGAGAATGATTTTAGACAGCAGTGAGTGGGAGAGAAAAGAGAATGGCCCTGACAGATACAAGTAGGTCTATTTTGAATTTTGTAAGTTGAATAGAATTTTGCAGGGGTATTTGCAAGGCTGATTTATGACCTGTGGAAGTAAGAAAATAAGTCAGAGTTACCTTTGACAGGGAGAGACCAGCTGGCTAGGCTTATAATGTGCCTTCTTGATTTAGAATATGGCACTTCACTTCACAGATCTAAAAATTTGTCTTTGCTAGTACACTCAGAGTTAATTAGAGGCTTTTAGGACTGACTGAAACTTAAAACTCATGAAAATTAGAAAAGATTGACCAGAAAGCCAGGTGGTTAATCTGCAATAAAAAGATACTTTGCCAATACCTTAACAGTGGATATTAAAGTGAAGGTGGAATTGGCTATTAGAAGATTTCTTGGTAAATTCAGAACAAGAGCAGGAGTAGTGCAATATTCTGAAAGGTATAGAAAACCTGAAAACCATCCCTACCTCCCCACACAGCAGAGCCCGCCTCTGAGCCAGCTTTTGGTGTCCATCCATCGCTAGCTTCTGACCTGTGCTGGATAAGCACATTACTGCCTACTTTTTAATTTTTGCCTTCACTTTCTCTAGATGTCTGGCTTGCTCAGTATATTACCATTGACTAGCCTACTACTTTCTTTTGTATTTAGTGATACCTTAATCACATATTGAGGGCCTGGTTCTTACTTAATTCGGAAGACTTACTGGCCTATAACACTGATCTGCGGGTGGCTAATCTCATGTATTACACAGTATGGTTTTGCTAGTCTAATCCTCATGGATTCACTTAATCTGCACATTCTAGGAGTACTTGGCTGTTGCCCTCTAGGTTCTAACCATTATGCCTCCTCTATCTATCTATCTATCTATCTATCTATCTATCTATCTATCTATCTATCATCTCTTCACATTGTATAAAAACAGCTGTTTCAATTGTCATTATCTAAACTGGCAAACTAAGAAGCATCAAGGAAGGCTAGGAAGAAGCCAGGAAGCATCAAGGAAGGCTCCCTATAGGTTTCAGGGGGATCTTGGTCCTGCCAACAGCTTGATTTTACACTTCTGTTCTCCAGGCTACAAGACAATGCATTCCTGTTGTTTTAAGCTATCTGTAATAGTTTGTGATAACTTTGTTCTGGCAATGCTGAGAAACAAATGCAGTTTCCTTTCTGTTGAAATTACTTTTGTTAGCTTTTTGAAAGGTCAGTCTGCTAGCAACAAATTCTCTTAATTTTTTCTTCATCTGAAAATACTTTTTTCTCTTTTATTCTTAAGTATAGTTTTGCTGGACATAGAATTTATGGATGATAGTCTTTTTCTTTCAGCACATAAAAAATATCTTGATACTTCCCTCTAGTCTCCATGGTTTCAGATGAGAAATAATATCATTCCAATTGGTGTTCACCTATAGTTAATGGGTCCTTTTTTTCGCTGGTTGCTTTCAAGACTTGTTTCCCTCTATCTTTAATTTTTAAAAGTTTAATCATAATGGGTCTTAGCATAGCTTTTTGGGGGTTTATTCTGTTCGGGGCATGCTCAGCTTCTTAGATCTGTGGATTTGTGTCTTTTACCAAATTAAGGAATTTATAGGCATTATTTCTTCAAGTACTCTTTCAGCCCCACTCTCTCTCTTCTTCTGGGATTTTGATATGAATCTTGGTCTTTTGTATTTTCCCACAGGGCCCTAAGGCTCTGTTCAATTTTTGTCAGTCTATTTTCTGTTATTCACATTAGGCAAATTCTGTTGATGTATTTTCAAGTTCACCGGTTCAACATCTTCTGTATGTCCACACTACTATTGAGCCCATATACTGAAGTGTTTTTCAAAAAATTTTCTGTTACTGCATTTTTCAGTTCTGTAATTTTCATTTGGTTGATTTTATGACTTGTATTTCTTTTGCGTGTGGATGTCCAGTTTTCCCAGCACCAATTGTTGAAAAGATTTTCTTTTCCCTAATGAGTGGTCTTGGCACCTTTGTTGAAAATCATTTGACTATATACACAGAGTTTATCTCTGGGCTCTTTATTCCATTGGTTGATGTGTCTGCTTTTATGCCAGTACCATACTCTTGATTACCACAGCTTTGTAATATGTTTTGAAATCAGAAAGTGTGAAACTACTTTGTTCTTTTTCAAGATTGTTTTGGCTATTTCAGTGTGTATTTGTTTCAATATGCTTGCAGCAAGCTACAGCCATTTATTTTATGATATTTTAAAATATTAACTATTTATCAGAAGTTGGATTATATTTGCACAGATGTACCTCTCTTTGTGCCACAGTGTATTTGAAGATTTGTTTTGTTTATACCTTATTGACTTTCGTACATTTGAGAGGACCCTAGCTTTGGTTTCTCAATAGAAAATTTTGTGTGTCAGGACAAAACCAAGGTCTATATGTTTGAAATAGCCAAAAAATTAGAAATTTAACCAATTTTATTCTAGTGTTGCTGAGACTTCAGCTGAATGCCATTTGGTCTTATAATGACTTTAAAAAGTGTAACATTTATAAATGGATTAGAAAATACAAATTTTTGGTTTGCTACCATTAAGTTTGTAAAATCATGTTGAAATTCTAATTGTGAATTTTACAAGGTAACTGTGAGGTGATAGATATGTTAATTAGATTAATTTTGCTAATTTCATAGGATGTACATGTTTCAAAATATGTTGTATAGCTTAAATATATTCCATTTTTATTTGTCAGTTATATCTTTATAAAGCTGGAAAAAAAGAATGTTATAGAATGTTCATCAAAACTATCAGTGGGGCTGGGCACAGTGGCTCACACCTGTAATCTCAGCACTTTGGGAGGCCAAGGCAGTCAGATCACCTGAAGTTAGGAGTTCGGACCAGCCTGGCCAACATGATGAAACTGTCTCTACTAAAAATACAAAAATTAGCTGGGCATGGTGGTGTGTGCCTGTAACCCCATCTACTTGGGAGGCTGAGGCAGGAGAACCGCTTGAACCCAGGAGGCAGACATTGTGGTAAGCCGAGATTGCACCACTGCACTCCAGCCTGGGCGACAGAGTGAGGCTCTGTCTAAAAAAAAATATCCTATCAATGAGTCAATTAACATGTTTCTGTTGATAAGGTTTTTTTTCTTTTATCTGAAAATCTTTTCAAATAAGGAAATTAAATCTTTAACTTTGAAAAAGAATTTTTTACTTGAGTCTACATAAAGTTAGTTTTTAATGATTAAAAAAAAAACATATTAATTAGCACCATGCTGTACTTTCATATGTTTGTTCATGGCCCTAAAAAAGCAGAAATTTTACTATTTTAATTGAGTAAATTTAGTAAAATTGAGTAATTTTACTAAATTACTCAAAAAATGCCGTAATAAATAAGCTGTGAATATATAAAAATTCTCATATAAATTTTTAACATCTTGATGAACAAAGCAATTTAGGATGCTTTTTCTCCAAATTAATTAACGAAATAAATATCTAGATTACATTAACATGATTAGAATTTGTTTACAGAACAAACAGAACTTAGAAAATGTAACAATTTTATAAAGTTGATGTTGAGTGTTAATGTTCTCAAAATTTAAAATTGAATGAATTGATAGTTTCTTTTGCTTTTCTACGTCACATTTCCAAAGCCAGCTCACTTTATTTTTACTTAGGTTTCTGATGATTCTTCTTCTTCTTCTTTCTTCTTCCTTTCTTTCTTCTTCTTCTTTCTCAGACAGAGTCTTGCTCTGTCACCCAGGCTGGAGTGCAGTGGCATGATCTTGGCTCACTGCAACCTCTGCCTCTAGGGTTCGAGCAGTTTTCATGTTTCAGCCTTCCTAGTAGCTGGGATGACAGGTGTGCACCCCCATGCTAGGCTAATATTTGTATTTTTAATAGAGACAGGGTTTCACCATGTTGGCCAGGGTGGTCTCCAACCCCTGACCTCAAGTGATCTGCCTGCCTCAGCCTCCCACGGTGCTGGAATTGCAGGTGTGAACCACTGCTCCCAACCCTGATTCTTTATTTTTTTTAAAGCTTGATTTAGTACAGATGAAATTGAGTAAAGGCAAAAATGACTACTACTGTATGCTGAGAACTGTCATGTCTGTCACAACTTTTGTGTATTTACTGCCATCTAGTGTTGCCTTTAAAAATTGATGACACCCAAACACTAATTTTATTTGCAAAATAGTCAAAGAAATTTTTATAGACTGAACCAAAGAATAGCCTACCAATGTAACAGATAAAAACATATGAAAATGCCATTTTTTGTGGGTTAAAAATTAATATTGGGGGTGTCATAAAATTCAGCCCTCAAGATTAAATCATTATTCAAATAATTTCCTTTAAGTGCTAATCTTTACTTTTGAGACAAACTTAGCTCACTTTATTGATATAGTTTTTAGCAAAAGATTATAACTTTACCCACAGAATTACGTATAGGTTTTCAATTTCTAAAAAATAGAAATGACCTGGTATCCTCCCAATATCAATCTTAGATAATACTTCATTTTAGTATTAAATGAATTTACAATTTTCTTTTAATTCTAAACTTGGCAAGATGTACCTGTTGGACATATTGAATACTAACAATTTACCTCCTAAAATTGGTTCTTTTTCTAAGGTGAAAATGAAATAACTACTCACCCCAGAAGTTACACTGCATTTCTAATATTTAGGGCCTGGTGACCACCAAGCCTGTCTGTACCATGCATGTTTAATTGGTGGTATAAAAAATATAATTTAATTGAAGTTTCTTTAAAAAAATAAGTTTTCATGTGGCACCCCCTCTCCCTCTGCAAGCAGCTGCTTAGATGCAGAATTGAATTTCATCTGTAATATCAGAGGTATCCTCGGAGAATGAATCGAGCCTTTCCCGATTCTTTTGTGCCCTGAGTCACAGGATTGATTTTCCTAGTTTCAGATTTAAAAGTTGCAAGCATTATACAGATAATTCCTATATAATCTTTATCAGGATTCGACTGATTTTGAACATTTTGTCACATGTGTTCTTCCTCTCTCTCAACTAAGAGAGAGGGAGGGAGAGAGAGAAAAAGAGAGAGG